TCTCTCTCTCTCTCTCTCTCTCTCTCTCTCTCTCTCTCTCTCTCTCTCTCTCTCTCTCTACCTATCGTCCTATATAGTTGCTCTGGAATGCACAGCAATTCTGGAAGCTGGGGCTTTAGGAGGAGGCAGGAGTTGAAGCTTGGGGACATGAAGTCCTACAGCAGTAGGACAGACAGGACACAGAGGTGGGGCATGGTGCTCTCTCTCAGTCTCTCCTTCCCAGCACTTAGCCCCTTCGATGCCAGCTGCCCACCAGGGCTAGAGGTCACTGTTCCCAGAACCAGCTCCCCACACCATCCTGCTCCACAACGACAGGAGAAATCCTCCAAAAGTGGCCAACGTACCACCCTCTTCATCCCCTCCTGGCCAAGAGGCCCATGCCTGCTGCCCACCCCGTGGCCCACAGGAAGGCACGCACCAAGATCCCCAAACTGCGATGCCAAAGTTGCCCCCCAAAGCGGCTACTTCCTCTGACACACAAAAACTGGGTCTCTCTGCCACCCACTCCCAATCTGTGCACTATGGGGTGCCCTGAAGCAAGGCAGGGAGCCAGTGTCACACTGTACCCTGAAACACTGAAGCAGCAAGGGTGGCCAGGCAGACCGGAAAGCATCAAATCCTCCCAAGGAGCACATCAGGCTCTGGACAAGGTTGTCTCTCTAACCTGACAGCCATAAACCCAGAACTGGCTCTAACCCATAGCTACAACCACAGGTCCCTGGGAGACCAACACCCTGACCCCACAGGGCCATCAGAGCCCCTGAGAGAGAATGCCAAAGCCCGGAACAAGGATGACAGCCAAGAAGAGGAGAAGGGCTAATGTCACAGCCACTTACTTTTCTTGCCTTGCTTTTTCTTTCTTTGGTCTGCAAAGGGTAGAGAAGGAGAGGAAAATAAAACAAGGGTTAAGATGGAGCCAGCGATAACACTACTAAAGGTGAACATCTAACACTACACGTGTAACACAGAAACATATTTTTAACCTTTTCATGTGTTACAGTTAACTCATCTAATCTGTCTAACAATGCCATGAGGCATTGTGCCCATATAACAGATTTGAGGACTGACACACAACAAAGTCAAAAGCCCTAAGGTGGCTGGGGGAGGCAGGGAGAGACAGCGCCACCTCCAGCCCGTCCTCACCTGCAGTCACACTTGCTATGCTGGAGAAAACTCATCTCCCCGATGTGCTGCCCCTGGTGGGGCTTGATCCGCATGATCTGCAGGAAGGAAGCAGACCAGAGGTCAGTGACCCAGCCAGCCATACCCAGATGGGACACCCGGGGCTCCTGTCACTTGGTGCCCAGGGGTTCTAAGAGCAGGGATGGGTGATGGAGGCCGGGGACCAGGGCTCTGGTAGAAGAGAGCCAAGGCCACCAGGCTCCCCCAACCCTGCTGGCCTCAAGGAGCCCCTGCTCCTCTTGAGGGAGGTGTGGCTTCGAGGGTTGGCCAGGCTGGGAATTCGGGTCGTGGTTCTTACCATCCCCACCCCTTCCCTCTTGTCACCCCTGCTCAGCTCACCCTGATCCCTCTGCAAGAGCCACCCACCCCACACCTCAGAACTGACCCCTCACTCTCACCCTGGCTGGGCTAAGATGCACCCATAACCAGATAGCACCCAAACAGGTCCCTCCAGCTTCCCAAACACCCCCTGCCCCCATCTCTGACCACAGAGGCCCTGAGATCTCTCCAGGGAGGAGAAGGGCCTTTGTGTCAGGATCAGGCTCCTCCTGAACCTTCTAGAAGCAAAGGCCAGGGAGAAGGCAGGCGGCTGGACTTCATGGAAATGCAGGTGTCTTCTTTGCAAATCAGCTCAGACCCCACACACTTCCCCATCCCAGCCCAACGCAGGCAGGGGCTGGGCAGGGCGAGTCAAGATGTCCTACTCAAAATGTCCCAGAAAATGGCTTGATCCCCTACGCCAAAGTCCAACACCCCTCCCTATGCCCCTGCCCCACTCCTACAGGGACCCACCTGCATGGTGATGTTGAACTCCTCGGTGGGCACACACTCCAGACTCTCGTCATTACAGCAGCCCCCACAGCGCATCAGGGGCACACAGGACGGCTTGAAGATGTACTCGATCTCATCGGGGTACTCCTGGAAGATGTCCACCAGCGTCTCAATCGGACGGCAGTAGCTACGCTTGTAGACATCCATGAACTTCACCACTACAGGGAGAGGTGACACATGAGCCCAGGGCATGACAAAAAAAGGTGGCCAGCTCCTATCTATAGATCCCACGAGTTGTCAAGACCCAGGGGAGATAGCCTGTCACACGTGATACCTGCCTCACTGTGAGAGCCCACGGAGTTCAAGGAGTATGGATGTACCTGCTGGGAGCACCCGAGGTTCACCCAACCTTTGTCAGCCTGGTCTTGCTTTCCTACAAGCTTCTACAACTTAACACCAATCAGGCCAGCAAATGTTTATTGAGCACTTACTACAGCTGGCACTGCACCACACTACACATGGGTCATCTCCCACAGTCTCCTCCCGTACCTGTTACCAAATGCCACTGGGACCCAATTCTACAGTGGGAGCTAGAGGTAAGAGAGGCCCTACTGTTTGCAAGCAGCAGAGCTGGAAAGAGCTCTGATGCCCAAGCCTTCTCAAGCCTATGTCACACACAGGACTCAGAAGGTAACTTGCCCCAGGCCAGTCCCCTCCCCAGATGAGAGCTGACAAGGTATCAGCAGGTAGCAGTGGGCGGGCCCCCAGTGCAGGCCCTGCCAGCTACCAATAACTCCGCCCAAGAGGGCAAACCACTTGCATCATGGAAAAAACTGCGGCCGCAGAGCATTTCTAGAAGCTGATCTGGAGGGAGACCAGGGAGAAGACAGTTTCCCAGGCTGACTGCAGTGCCTGGGGTGCACTGGAGCATGAATGGGTAATTCTGGGCCACTGGGGCGGGGTTAAATACACATAGGACTCCAGCGGGATGGACTTGTGCCCCATCTGCCCCTCTCCAGCACACCCCACCACCACCACTCCAACCCCAGCTATTCTGAGGTGAGTGAGATGAGTTCCGCAGCACGGGAGGAAAGAGATGGCCCAGCCAATGGGCAGGCCAGGCTCCAGCCATGACTCTGTGTGGCCCTGGGTCAGTCCTACCCCTCTCTGGGCCTCTGCTCACATGTATGAGTGGATTACCCTGATCTTTAAAAACACACAGTAACAGAGGCTGAAACCTGAGAGTTTCTCTCCCATTTCCAGCCCCGAAAACAACTGGTCTCTCCCCATTCTGGGTGACACGGTGTGGAACTTCGCCAGGTCACCTTGAGTGCCCATCCCATAGACTGCCAGCTCCCGCCCCCACCCTGACTCTGCTTCTCAAAGGTGAAGGAAGATGAGACCCAGGGGTGCAGTGCAATATGCTGAGTGTGGACAAGCGGGAGGACTATGGAGAAGGTGGCAAGAAGCCACAAGTGTCAAAAGGGAAAGAACAGAGAGGAGGAGCCCAAGACAGTCTCCGCTTCCCCAAGGGCTCTACTTCTCTACATGGCTAATGGGCACAAAATGTTTCCCTACCCGAAGAGGTTAAGGTAAAGCATAAACAGAAAACAGTAATTGGACCAGAGGTCTGAAAAACGCATTTCTAAAAGCTAACTCTATATTGAGCCAGATGGTTCATACAGAATTTTTAAACTGACCCCTCACCATGAGTGGGACAGAGGCAGCGCAGGGTTGGGCTCAACCCAGGAGGGGACAGCAAAGACCTGGCCTGGGCAACAGGGCTGATGCTCAAGGGACAAAATCCCAGAATCCATCGGGCCAGATGATGAGGGTGACCCCCACCAGAAGGCCCCACAGCCTGGCCTTCCAGGACACAGTGCTCCTCTACACAGGGCAAGTGGACATACACACTCCAACACGGGGCTTCCGTGGTTTTCCTTATTTATGGCAGACAAGCTTTTCTCCAGCAAACAAAGATCATTTGTCTTATTTTTCCCAGACCACAGAGACCACTGGGAAGCCAGAGAGGGTGGGTGGTGGTGCACTAGGAGCAGCCCCCCCACACACAGTGGCACCAGCCAGGAGGTGGCAGCAGGCCAGGCCCTGGGCCAAGACAAGGGCTCCTGGGGTAGGGAAGAAGGCAGACCAGGCCAGCTACTTTAGACACCCTGGATTTGGGTCAGGGAAATCGTGCTGGACAAAGACCCCCAGGGTCAGCTCTTCCTCAGAGGAGAGGAAAGGGGAGTGGCCCAGGGCTGGAGCAGAGGCCACACTCAGTTGCAGACCAGAGCCAGGGCGTCCCCAGAGAAATCAGAAGATCCCGGTGCTCCAAACCACATCGGAACAAAAGGCAGGCGACTCAGGGTTGGGCAGGAGGCGGGGCGCCCGGGAGCCACAGCCAGCCCTCTGCTGGCCTCGGAGGGAAGTTCACAGCACCCAAAGCCACCGGCTGGGGCTTTCTCCACCCCTAAAGGGACTCAAGCTGAAGTAGAGGTGGGAGTTCCCATCCAAAGCCCTGAACATCCATCCTCTTTCTTGGGGGAGGTGGACCTTCACATCTGGAATCCCTGAATGCTACCTGTCTACACTCTCAGCTCGTGCTACAAATAAAACATAACTGGAAACAGAAGACAAAAAGCAACAAGTCCTATTTCTAACAGAGACTGCAGCACAGATGAGACTTCAGGAAGGGGAAGGGTTAAAAGCTCATGGAGCCCACCCCTCTTTCTGACTCGAACCCCACCTTTCTTACTCCTCCTCCCATGGATCTACAAAGGAAGAACTGGGCCCTGGGGTGCCAGGGGATCCCATCCAAGAGCCAGGGACTCACCTTCACGCGGTTTCTGCTCTCCTTCCGCCATGGGCGCTGCCTGGGACCACTAGGGACAAAACAAAGAGCAAGGCGTTGGCATACCATGGGTATAGGGATGCAAAGCCCAACTATGGCCCCTCCTCCCTCAGGGCTATCCTTCCAGGCACAGCCTCTGCCTTCTCCACCGCACCTGAGTCAAGTGGGGACCGGCCAGGGGTCTTTACAAGGCTTTGAGCGCGCCAAACTGCTCCAACTCTGAACCCACAGAAGTTAAAGACTAACCAGAAAGAGGGGGGTGCTCATAATGCAGGAGGCAAACACAGAATCATGTTGCTGTCCCTGTCCCCTGCTCACACTACCCTCTTCTCATTCTCACTGGCCCCCGGGGTTCCCTGGTCGAAAGCTATGGGTATTAAGGTCAAACAGGAGGACAAATTTGGATGGGGACAGAAAGGAAGGACTGGGGGCGAGAAAAACAACGTGGTGACCTTCTCCTGCTGACATGACAAATACCAGGGTGAGCTGGTGCTGGGGGTGTGGAGGACAGAGGCACCGCCACCCTCCCCCAGCAATGCTCTTCAGTCCCAAGAACACTCAGTGTCCCCACAGGTTGTGTGGAGGGTGAAGACAGGCAGGAGGCCCTGGCTCACCCTGCACTCCTCTCCCCGGAGCTGGGCTCATTTCCAAAGCCCCTGTAGCCTCTCACTCCCTCTCCCCTGGGTACCTTCCCTAAATACATCCAGGGAAGCCTTTCCTTCCACAGTGCACTCAGCCCCAACCCTCCCCAGAAGCTGTGAAGGTCAAGGAGCCAGCCCTGTGGACCCAAGAGCAGACAGCAAAGGCTTCCAGTGCGTCCTGGACGTCCAATTCCCCCAGTCTCCCTCCCCACCTGCTCTTCTAGCTAGCTATCCAGACCCCAGGGTCAGCTGGGCAGGGGCCCACCATGTCTGTTTCTCCCCTTCCCACAATGCACCCTCAACACACGTGGGGGGGCAGGGCCCCCAGCCCTGCCCCATGGCCAAGGTCAGAGGAAACCCCTCTCCAAGGAAGATGGCCTTTCCCAGCCTCCCAGCTGGACAGACCTTCATGAGAGTCCATTCAGAGACCCCTGATTGTGCACCCCAGCCTCCACACACCCGCATAATACCCCTGACATTCTCCCTGAACCCCTACTTCAAAGAGAAAAGTGGTCAGAATCTTCAGGCCCCTCCAAGACCAGGGGTACAGGAGGGGCAGTATTGGGCAGGGAGGGGCCAGGTGCCCTTCTCTGGGGGCCTCTGAAGGTCACACTGGGACCAGGCAGCTACTCCTCCCCCTCCTCCCCACTTGGAGGCCAGGAGCCAAGGCCTTTGTGCCGGTGTCTGAGGAACCCCGGTGGCGGCAGGGACCCCTGCCCACTGCCTTCCTTTTGCCTCCTCTATAAGAGGACACCGGTGGGCGGAGAGAGGCTGGACGAGAGGAGCTGAGCAGGACCCCTTAGGTAGCTTTGAGAGGCAAGTTGTGAGCAAGTCTGTAGTTCAAAAAAACCACCTGCTCCAACGCTGGATTTTGCTAGGACAAAGTGTGTGTGCATGGCTCGGGGAGCTGGAGGATGAGTTCGTGCTGCCTGGGTCGCAGCAGGTTCCCCTAACACAAAAAGGGTAAAGGGTAAAGTGGGGCAATGACAATCTCCGAGCCTCCCTTTGCCCGCCCTCATAAAAGCGGCAGTACAGCTCTCTGGGAGCTGCTGGGGGTCAGGGGGTGGCACGGATCGCCAAGTTGGGACTTTAGGTAGAGTTAGCACAAAGCACAGGGTGGGCTCTGGCCCACAGACTTCTGACAGTTACCATCCTTTCCCAGACTCTGGGTCAGAGGGTTGTTCCGTTCCTCTTGGTGAAAACCACCAGGCTGGCAAGGTTTCCCTTCACTCGAGGGAGAAAAGGGGTAAGGGGCTCAGGACGTTGCTGCCAGCACAAGGCGGCGGTCGGGGCTGGGGACGACAGAAGGGACGGGGAAGGCTCCCCAGGTCCCTGGCCGGGGCTCCCTCGAAAGGTCACCTTCCGGCGGAGGCCTGGCGGGGGAGGGGCGCCACCCGCCGCCCGGGGCTCCCCGCTCCTCCGCGGCCGCGGCTCGGGAACACGAGGCCGGCCAGGCCCGGGCTGATGTAATCGGCCCCGCGCCGCGCGCGCCCGGCCGGGCGGGGGAGGGCGGGCATCGCGCGGGACGCGAGCGGTGACGGGCGGGGTGGCCCGGCGCGGGTGGGCCGGACGGCGGGGGGTCCTGCTAGGATGCATCCTGAAACTTTTCCCAAACTCGCATCGAGGGCTACAGAGCCCAATGCAGTGACAGCAACCCCCTCTCCCGCGCCCTACCCCCTCCGCGCGCTCTGCCCTCCCGGGTCCAAGGTCCGAGCACCCCCTGGCCCGCGCGCTCCGGACCCCGCCCCGCCGCTCGAACTCCCACCTCGGGGACCCGCGGCTGGGCGCAAACTTCGGTCGCCCCAGCCGCGCCAGCCCAGCCCCCTCGCCGCCTCCCTGGCTCCCGCCCTCGCCAAGCGGCCCGAATCGTACGTGCGGCGACTCCAGTGGGTGGGCAGGGCCCGCGTGGGCGGCCAGGCTCCCGTGCCCTCCCACTCAGCGCTCGCCCCCTCCCCCTACACACTCGGCGACCGCGAGGGACGCTGTGCGCCCGGAGCCAGGAACCCGCGTGGGGCGCGAAGTCTCCACGCGCGCGCACGGCCCGGCCAGAAAAGGGCCCGGGGGGCATGGCAGCTTACCTTGGCATGGTGGAGGTAGAGCAGCAAGGCCAGGATCCAGTGCACCCAGGAGAGCAGAAAGTTCATGGTGTCGGAGGCCCGGCCGCGGCCGGCTGGGCGCGCGCTCGCTCTGCGGCTCAGGTTGCGGGGCAGCCCGCTCTCCTGCACGCCTCGGCGGGCTCTGCTTCCTGCCGGGGCCTGGGGCGCGCGCGCGGCCGGGGCACTGTCTGCACACTCGGCCGCCTCACCCGTCCATGGGCCCGGCCCCTGAGAGCCGAGCGCCCGCCGCGGCTCCTGCTCCGCCTCCGCCGCCTCCTCGCCTTCCGCCTCCCCCTGCTCCGGCAGCGGCTCCTCGCAGCCCGTGCTCGCTCTCTTGCCGGCTGCGCTCAGGTCGGCGGCGCGGGCGCGGACCACGGCTCCTCCGGGGCGAGAGCCGCCCAGAAGTTGCGCGAAAAGTTTCAGCGCGGTGCTGTGCGCCCCGACCCCCTCCACGCCGCCTCCGCGCGCGGGATCCGGGGGGCGGACGATGGACGCCGGGCCGGGGGCGGCGTCGGTCTGTCCGTCCGTGGGTGCGCGGTCCCGGGAAGGCGCCCCACACGCCTCGTTCGGCAGTCACCCGAAAGCAGGTCACTGGCTGCGCCCGGTGCCCCGCGCGGCTCGCTGTGGCCGCGGCGCGCTCTCGCTCTTCCTCGACTTCTCTCCGGAGCTCTCGCCGCCTCTCTTCTCTCGGCCGCTTTCCAAAATCCGAAGTGATTTGGAGAAGCAAAGAAGCGATCTCCCCAAAACGTCGGCCCGATTTCAAGCGGGGAATGGGGGCAAAAAATAAATTAAAATAGGAAACAATACAGTTTTCTTTAAACAATGTTTAAGGAGGAAAAAGGAGAGGGGTTAAACCCCTAGGGGGAAACAACGAAGCTCAGATCCCAGTGCGGAGGCCCTGGCTGTTGACTCCGCTGGCCCGTCTGCCGCGCCGCCGCCGGCTCCGTGCCCCGCGCGCGGCCTTCCCGCAGCCCGGCTGCCCCAAACCTCTGCGCTCCTGCCTCCTCCAGCCGACTGAAAAAAGGGCCGGATCCGCCCATTCTGAGGCCACGCCCCGGGGCCGGGCCGCCTGAGCCTCTCCCCCTCCCCGCCGGCACCGCCTTCCCCCCAGGGACACGCGGCGAAGTCTGGGCCGCGAGCCCATTGCTGCGAAGGGGAAGCGCGCCCCCTACTAGGGTTCGCGCCCGAGAGTCGCCCATGCGCCCCCTGATACGCTGCTCAGAGACACGCACGGCCGTGGACTGAGGGCAGAAAAGTGGGGTTATGTGCGGACAGGGCCTGAGCGCGGTTCCCGCTTTGCTGGGAATATTGGAGGGGGCGGGGAGAGGGACGTGAATCTGTTGGAATCCTGGAGTGACCCCTCGCTTCTCCCCCTGCACACACGCACACGCACGCACACGCGCCCTCGCTCACGCAGACGCGGCTCGCCCAAGTTCACGAGCTCCCTGTGGTGGCCGAGCGCCCCCTAGTGACCGCCGTCTGCACTCCTCGTGGGCTCCTAAGGGAGACCCTGCTTGGATTAGGACTGGAAGCAGTGCGCTCCCGCAGCCCCAATCTCTGACCTCACCCCCAAACCCCCAAACCCCACCCCGCCAAGGGCTGCGTGCTTGGGACTGGAATGGCCCCTTGGGCAGAAGTCCAGTGCTGCGTGCAGGAGGGCCCATGGGCTTATCTGAAGCCCTTATCTGGCCTACAGACAACAGAGGAGCTGGGGTGAATGGGGTCTTTAGGAGCTGTCCAGGGAAGCTTCCCCGGGGAGGAGAATTTGGCAGCGAGTTTGTGGCGCTGAGAACGGGAAGCTGTGTGGTTCTGGGGTTAGTCAGCGACACGGCGGGGAAGAGGACCTGTTGGAGCCCACGTATGCACTGCGGAGTCTGGCAAAGCCCCTGGCAGAGGCAGCTGGACAGACAGAGGCCCTTGTTCCTGCTCGTCCATCCCCCTCCCCCCCAGATGTTGCCAGGGAGCCAAAGCCAGGGGCTGGTGGGGGCGGAGGAAGGCCTGGGCTGTAGTAATGATTCAAAGCTACCCCCAGCACTCAGGAACGTCGGCAGGCCGGCTGCCCAGAGCTCCCACCAGGCGGGGCGCCAAGCCTTATGCGCCCCAGCCCTGGCTCAGCTCACTTCTGAACAGAACTGGGGGATCTCTCCAACCCCCACCCCCACTCTGTGCCTTCAGGAGCCCTTGCTTCTCCTCCAGGGTCCCTCCTTTCCCGCCCCTCCCATACCTCCAAACTCCCTTCCCCTCTGATGCCCCATGTATGTCTCTCCTAAGTGCTCCCCAAGGCCCCCCACCCCACCCTTGGATATAGGACCCAGCCTTGGAAAATTCCTGGTTGGGCTTTGGCCCAGCTGCTGCTTCCAGACTCCCCCAGGGAACAGGGGGTGGGGGAGTTGGTACCTGTGGGAAGAGAGGGACCAACAAGTGTCATTGCCCACACAGATTTAACTGGGCAACCTGGGGCTCAGGTAGGTCCAGCTAAGACAGAGAAAGCAGCAATTTCTCTGCACACCTAGAATGGTCTGAGGAGATTACTTAGTTGTCCTCCTCTCTCTGTAGATGGTGCTGTGGCTTATGGGGCCACGAGATTACCTCCAAGATACCCCAATTCCTGGCTAGGTGTTCAGAAGGTCCTAGGAGGAAAAGGACTGGCTTCCAACACCCCATCCCAACCTTTCCATCCCTCAGGTTCTGGCCCTGCCTGCACCCCTGGCCCAGACCCCCTTCCCTGCTGGCCCTGCTGCAAGCTGACAAGTGGGTTATGGAAGGGATTACCCATATATTTTTCTTCCTCAGCCTCCAGCACCCAGAATTCCTCCTACATCTCTACTTGGGACAGGACAGGAGCTCCAGGCATCCACGGTTCACTCCTGCCCCTGCCTTGCATCTTCTGTCCCTAGAGAGGAAATGGCATAAAGAGGAGGTTCAGGACAGAACCCCAAAGCTAGGAGGGACAGCCATCCACAGTAATGTCACAGCCCCAGCATCCCGGCTCAGCCTCGGTGCACACAACGAGGTGTTCCAACAAGCCATTCTCAGCTCCTGCTGTGGACTGTGTCCTGGGAACAAGGGTGATGACGGTGCAGAATTCTCAAGAGCCAGCAAGGCCTGCAACCTGGCCTAAGGGCTTTGAGCAACCTGCACCAGGGTGGGGACGGGCCTCCCACCTCCACCCTGCACTCCAGAGACATGACCTGGAAGTGAGTCAGAGAAGGGGTCAACTCTGGACCCCATGGTCTATGGTGCCACTGGCTTTCACAACAAGACTCTTGGGTAGGCCCGCCAATGATCATGTTGCCACCAAATTAAAACCTCAAGTCCCTGGATGTTCAAATAATGGAGAAAGAAGCAAAACCACAGTTCTAAGACCACATGGTGTATCCTCAAGCATGCGCTGTGTGTAGGGGTCAGTTCCCCTGAACAAGCTTCCAGCCACTCATCCTTTGTCCCCATGTCACTGCAGGGTGGGGGCCATCAGGGCAGGCTGTCTCCCCAAAGAATGCTACATACCCCCAGAGAGAGTGTAAACAAGCCCACGGTTACCCCTAAATTGAGGGAGGATGAAAACAAGAGCCCCTTAGACAGAGGCTTTGCCGGGTCCCCATCTCTGGGCTAGATAGTCACAGCCAGTGGCTCTGGAAGAGCCCAGAAGGCACCAAGAAGAAAGGTGCAGCTGTTCCAGGGGAGAGGGGAGAGGATGGGGACACAGTGGGGGTGGAGAGGCATGTGAAAGGCTGCCAGCATCCAGTAGTAGTCCCAGACAGAGGAAGCAGTGATGGGACCCAGGGTATAATGGTTGTACTTTGTCCTGATGTCCAGTGACCTCCCCTGTCACCTCCAGTGTTCAAGGAAGTTCTTGCCCATGTGGGTGCAGGTAGCTCATCTGGGAGCCATGGATGAACAGACAGAGGCCCTCCTGGGGAAGGAAGGGAGACAAGGAGGGCCTGGCTGGGGCTGGCTGTCCTCCACACATTGTCCCAGGTAGTTCATCATGATGGAGGGAAGTCCTCTTTCACGCCATCTCCTGAGCCCCCAGTGCAGCAGGGCACTGACCTACAGAAAGGGCAGCTGACCTCCAGCTGCTGAGTAGAAAGAAATTCCTTGTCTCTGGCCATGGGCCCACCCTATCCTGCTCATCACCAAGAATTCCTCTGTCACCAGGTCTTTGCAACAAAGCAATAGAAAAACAAAGCAATCTGGGAGAAGGCTATACCTCCAGTGCCAAAGTTGCAGCCTCCCATGGATCTGAAGATTTGACTGAGGACCACGTGAGACCAACATAGCCAGTTAGGGAAAAAAACTAGAGCAGAGGGTCCAGGCCAGAAGGAGAAGGAGAAGCAAGTAAGAAGGGGAACAGGATAGCATCCCTCTCTAGAAGGGCACAACCCACGGACCAAGTAAGTCTGTGCCTCAACTTTACAGTCCCTGATACTAGGCTGTCCCCATTAGATGGCTTCTTTCCAGCCACTCCAGGCATGCCTGCTCCTGACACCCCAATCTTTGCCACCTCTTCAAAGCATGACCCCCACTATACCTATGTTGTCCCAGCCCCCATCAGTCTCAGAGGGTGTCCTTCAGCTGGGCAGAACATAGTGGCTTACATGGCTGTGCAGAGAGTTGTGTCCTCCCTGCTGACCCCAGAGCACTCTGGGTCTACCAGCTCTGAGCTGGTATGGCAGGGACATTAAATAGGGCCAGTGCAAAGTGTAGAGGTTTGGAGCAAAATATGCTTAAGGGCACCCCTGTCTCTGCCTCTCTGTGAGGATCTCTGGGCCATCAGTCACCTGGTCCATAAAACTGGAGTGAAAATACCTGCTTGGAGAGTCGCCACACACAGAGGAGCATGCACACAGCTCTTCTGGAAAGCAAGACGGCAGCTGTCTGCATTAGGACTCCTTCCCAAACAGCCAAAGCCTTCAGGAAAATGCTGCTCCCACGGGGTGAGGCCCTGGCAGGGTCACTGACCAGAATGGGCCTCAGGAAGCACCTCCTGCAGACAGAACAAGACATCGACTCCACAGCAATTACTAAACGCAGACCTCAAGCCGTGC